TCCTTCAGATCCATAGAGTTTTCCTCATTTTGATTCAGATCTGTGGATAGAAGCCCACTAAATATTTGATGAATAAATAAAAAAGATACCATCCATACTAGAAACAAGTATATACAAGACCTAGAAGCACAGCATCATGGAGAATTACTGAGACACTAACAAAAGCCTGAATAAATGGAGAGATGCTGCAGGTTGATGTGTAGAGGTTTCAGTAATGCTGGGATGTCATGGCTTCTCTCCAAACTGGTACGGATTTTCCAAAAAACAAAACAAAAAAAAATCTCAACAGTGCATTTTCAGGAATGGAAACCAATTCTGTAATATATCTTGAACAAAAGCCCCAAGTGTAGTCACAGCCAGCCTGAAACTCGCTACGGAGACCAGGCTGGTGTCCATCTCACAGAGATCCACCAGCCTCTGACTCCCAAGTGCGGGGATTAAAGGCGTGCACCACCATGCCCAGCACAGCATTTCTAATAAGAAAAAGTAAATGGGATTTTCCTGACTAGATAGCAACATTTATTAAGAAGGCAGAGTAATTAAGACAGTGCTGGGAATGACACAGGATAGACAATAGAACAGCAGAGAAAACTAAGGAAACCAGATTTTGCAAACATTAAAACGATATATAAAATCTCATCATAGGCTGTGAGCAGAAGGATGGACTTAATATAATGCTAGAACTGACTGTTAAGGAAATTATTAGATCTCACAAAAAATAAATAACACTAGATTTCTATCTTACACCAAACACAAAAATCAGCTCTAGGAGCAAAGCTTCAAATATTTTCTAAGAAAATATAGGATAACACACCTATGACCTCAGAGATTTAAAAAATCCATAAAAGTCACTAACATAAAAGGAAAACTGATACATACAATTATGTTATAATTAAGAACTACTATCTACAAAAGTTTACAATAGAGAAAATTGAAATATAATCCACAAACTGCAAATGACATACACCTACATACACATACAAAAATAATATAATATTCTTATAATGCTCCTATAGGCTAGTAGGCAAAAGAAAAAAGAATGAAAACATAGTCAAAGGACATAGACAACAAAAGGTAATAAACATATCACAAGTATTCAGAAAAACACAAATTGAAAACGGCCACAGCACTGGCAATGAATATTGATACTATCTAAAGTTGTTGGGAGATACAGATAAATTGATACAGTCCCTTAGGATAAATCATTTTGGAGTGGCCACCCTGTGATCTAGGCATTCTAGTACTCAGAATCTATCCCATGTCTGTAAAAGCCAAGTGTACAAGTATGCTTATGCAGCAGGGCAAGGATGAGAATGAGGCTGATGTCCACCCACAGAGCAGTTAACTAAGCTATGATACATTCACATTATGGACCACTATGCTGTCATCTGAACACTTAGGTTCCTATCTGCTGATATTGAAATAGCTGTAAAACATTGTCTGAGATACTAATTCTCACCATATATTACATTTGCTCCTGTTTCTAATACTCCTTGAAGTTAGGTGAGTCACATGATGAGTTCTGGCCAATGGGCTTGGAAGAAAGGAAGGTAACATGTCATTTGTGGGCTGAGATAACAAAAAGCCAGTGTCTATCTACAACAATTAAAATAGCCAAGGTATGGAAACAGCTAGTTGCACATCAACAGATGAACAGAAAAAGAAAATGTGCTACAGATTCACAATGGAGTTTCAGTCAGCTATAAAGAATGAAATCACATCAGCTGAAGGAAAGAGAAAGGAACTGGAGATTATCATGTTAAGTAAAATAAGCCAGATTCAGAAAGACAAATAGCACATTTTCTTTCATGCAGAATCTAGGGTGTGTGTGTGTGTGTGTGTGTGTGTGTGTGTGTGTGTGTGTGTAGGATGGGGAGTAGTAGGAGGTGTATATAGGGAAAGGAATCTAAATATGATCAAAATATATTGTATGAAATTCACAAAAAATTCAATTAAAAAACAGTCATATTTAATTATCACATCAGGCAGTTTCTAGTTTACTTTCTGATAAATACCTTGAACAAAAAGCTCCTTGGGGAGCAAAGGGTTTATTTACCTTACCTCTCATAGTCCATCATCTGTGTGTGTGTGTGTGTGTAACTGTGGGGGATGCAGATCTAAAGAAGAGGCTGGGGAATGAGGGGATAAAAGGGACAGAACATCGTATTTCTTTCATATGCAGAATCTAGGCTCTAGATTTGACATATATATTTCATATATGTGAAAGCAAAAAGGGGGCTATTTTGGAGGAGGAATGGGACCTGCAAGGGGGAAGGGTGGCAAGGGAGTGAATATGAGCAAAGTACAATGGTAAACATGTACAAAACGTGGTAACAAAGCCCATTGCTTGGTATTCTAACTGAAAAAATAATAATGGGAGAAAAACAAAAAAGAAAGCAATGAGATATAATAATAAAATATAAAACCTCAAATAGCATAAGGCCCTGAGTAAGGGCAGTGATGCTACCTTCCACCAGTAAATGAAATACAAATGAAAAATAGTTTTATTCATTTAAATCACTGGAATTTTTCAGATAGTTTGTTACTATGGTAATCCTTGTCAAGCCTAATTAGTATTTACCAATAAGCAGGAAAATAAAGGCAAATCACAGGGAAAAACTTAGAATATCATCTCATAAATGTTTGAAAGTCATGTGTGTTCTTATATGGGAGTGTAAATTTCCCAAGGATCAATAAGTTTCTTTGGTAAGAAGTAGGCATCTCTGGATAAGGCATTCTATGCTGTATTACTTGAATTTTTCAGAAGTATGTTACTTTTGAATTATTTTCTCATGAAAAAAAATCAGATTGTAGGTGGATATGGTGGTACATGCCTATAAGCCTAGTACTCAGGATGCTGAGGCAGGAGGATCACAAGTTCAATGCTAGCCTAGACTACATAAGATCCTGTCTCAAAAAAAAAAAAAAGGGATTGTTTCTTGAATACAATACGGGGCTGGAGAGATGGCTCAGAGGTTTAGAGTACTGCTGCTCTTGCAGAGGGCCAGGGTTCAGTTCCCAACACCAATACGGTGACTAACAACTGTCCATAACTCCAGTTCCAAGGGATCCCACACCAGACACACATGTGGTACACTTACATACATGTAGGTAAAACACTCACATAAAATAAAAATAAGCAAAATCTTAAAAAAAAAATACAGGATTCCTTTCAGATCTTCCAACTTTTCAGGGTATTGTCCCTAGTGACACCACCTTACCACTCTCTTCATACTGGAGAATAGAAAGGTTCCAGACTAAGAGGATAGCTTTTCAATATAAGCAAATGGAGACCCCCAATGGATGGCCTTTTCAGCAGTGTCATGTAAGAAACACATTAGCATCCTTAGTTGATGGCAACTTTGTTGCTTGCATCACCCTTCTGATGATGTCTGGGATAGTAAATTAATTAGACTGAGTTCAACCTAGTGTCTTTGTGTTCTGAACAAAACTATGTCTCACTACCAAAAAAAGACTTCAGTCTAACCTCTAATGCTCATGAGTAATAAAAAGTACAATGAGATTGCTAATGAAGGATGCCTTGCACACCTATGTAAATTGGGGGAAGTGAATGATTTTTTCCTAATGCACTCATTTCTGGAGATGCTGAATATGCCAACTGATCATTTTAACACAACTCTAAATTACTTTTCCAGTAAGCTTTCTGCTGTATTTGGCTACCCATTTGTAGATTGAAAGGCCACTGCAAAAGAAAGGAAGGGAGGGAGGGA